AGAAGGAAGATTTCCCCACCCACCAACAGCTCAGCCAATGAGAGCCTGTAGCAACCCAACCAACGGAAAGCCTCTACACTTTGGCCTCCCAGTTTCCTCCAATGGACTCTTTGTTTATTATAGCCCCTCCCAACTCCCCATTTCCTTTATAAAAGGAAGCCCTTTCCTTTGTTTCTCTGGATTTGCCTATGGTCCGCCAACGCCTGCGTATCTTGAATTGCAATTCTTTTGATTGTTCCTGAATACACTCGTTTTACAGGTAGAACAGCTGGCCGCTTTTCTTTTTAAGTTGACAAAATCTAAGAATAGTTGTTGATTTCTCAGTTTGTGCAGCATTTTGTCTGTTAGAATAGACTGGCGACTTCCAAGCTTCTTGCATGCCAGACTGAAACCAGAAATTCTCTTACCTCTGTTTTTATACTCTCAATTCTATATATTCAGTCATTTTATATTGCCTATAACATTCCTATGTTTCCCAACTGGACATTCCATTCAGAATATTTTAAGGTTACCTAAAATTTAACATGTTCAAATCAACCTCCCCTGTTAGTTAATAAAACCCCTTTCCTCTCACTCATCCAGGCTGAATATCAAAGTGGTTTTTATCACATGTACTTAATTTTTCCTTTATAATCTTTCCCTTTTCATTCTTTTTTGCTATTTTCACAGGCCCTAGGACTAGAACAGTAAACAGGCAAGAGTGCAGATTTTGGAGCTGGACTGTCTCAGTTCTAATCCTGATTCTGCTGTATATTGGCTGGGGGCCTGGTTCTAGGCTTTGGTTTCCTCACTATAAAAAGGCATGTAATAGTACCTCATAGGGTTGAATCGAGAATTTTTTGGTAAATGTAAAGCTCTTAGAACAGTGCCTGGCAAATACTTAACCTACATTATTGTTAGCTATTATTATTATCATCATTAGTTATTATTAAAACTTATTAAAAACGTTAACTTTAGATAAAACCTCTTAGAATCTTACCTCAGGCAATTTGTTTAATCTCTTATCCTCAGTTTCTTATCTATAAAGAGTAACTTATGATAATTCTTCCTAGTGAGAATTAAGTTAAATGATATAAGTAAAGCACTTAATCAAGTAATCACACAATAAAATTTGGCTATTGTTAGTGATATAATGTGATGATCAATGAAAATAATACCATCCTATGGAAAAGTGCCATAGATTCTTCATCATTAAACAATTATTTTCAATTTATAGATTGCACCCTTCCTTGGTACATAGTTATATATTATTGAAGTTGTGGAATTTGCATAGCACTTCATCATACTGATCCATAATGTTTTAATCAAACATTTGCTAAACATTCAGATTACTTGAGTTGGGCACTCAGAGATAACTGCCAAGAACATCTGTATCGCTTTGCCTTTAGGCTTCTCTGAGATTATTTCCCAAGGCCTTTCACAGGGAGATCCGTGAACAGTGAACAAACATTTTAAACATTCTATACATGCCCTTTATGTCAGGATCAGGAGAGAGGGTTGCCAAAATATTTTCTAACTTGAGGAAAAAGGAGATAACTTTAACTCCCTCACCAACTTTGGCTTCAATGTCAAAGTAAAATGTAGGTAAATACTTGATTTATGGTGTTGGGTTTGGGTAGATTAAACATATTGCCTTAGCAACTTAAATGGTTAGCTATTAATAACCTCCCTCCTTACCCTGCCAAAACCCCACAGTATTTACTAGCTATTAGATTACTTAAATGCTCATGGAAGTGTTACATCTTTTTCCTTTCCAAATGTCTTGGAAGTAAATAATAACCACATTGCTTTGCCAAGTCACTAGGTTTATGAAATGAGGAATTTGGACTGGATGATTTCTGAGTTCCTTGCTAGTTACAGTGCTCTTCCTTAGGCCTTATAAAATGTGGGGGCTACCTTTCTGGGTAGACAGCTGAATGTCTTACTCAAACCCTGTTCTGCCCTTCTCCATTTTTGTGGAGCAGTGGAAAGTGTATGGGCTTCTGAATCAGACAGATGTGGCTTAGAATTCTGCCACCGCCACTTTCCAGCCTAATCTCTCTACAGCTACATAGCCTCAACTCTCTGTTTTTAACTGATTGCTCAATGGCTGGACACCTGACCAGGCTGGACACCTGCTATATGCTTGAACCTAATCCACAAAGTGATGGTATTTGGAGGTGGGGCCTTTGGGAGGTGATCAGATCATGAGGGTGGAGCCCTCATGAATGAGATTAGCACCCCTATAAAAGAGATCCTGAGAGCTCCCTCACTCCTTCCACCATGTGAGGACACAGTGAAAAGATGGCCAGCTATGAACAGGAAGTAAGCTCTCACCAGACGCTGAATCTGCCAGCACCTTGATCTCTTACCAGCCTCCAGAACTGTGAGAAGTAACTGTTTGTTGTTTAAACCACCCAGTTAATGATATTTTTGCTGTAGCAGCCTGGACAGACTAACACCTGACCCAACTGAGTGACAGAGAGATTCTAGTGAAAAGACAGAAGAATTAGGGCAGACTATATTCAGAGAGAGAGAGAAGCAAAGATGCAAGATAGTGAGTTACCCCTGAGAGTCCAGTTTTTCAAAGCATACCATCCACTTCTTGTCATTTGATGCTTATGTGACTGCTTATTGTATTCATACCACAAAACTCTTATCAACACAGTCTGGGTAACTTGCTGTTCTTGAAGCCAGCATTTCTGACTTAGAAAGGACATTTAGGGATCTATAATTTCTGAGCTTCTCTTTCCTCCTCTATAAAATGGAAACAATAATAGTATCTTCCTTGTAGAATTGCTCTGAGGATTATGTGTGATAATGTATGAAAAACCACCAGTAGAGTTCCGGAAACATAGTAGGTGCTCAATAAATCGTGGCCATTAGCTTCCTGTAAATTTATGTCTTATAAATAAACCACCAATTTATTTAGAATTCAAATCATTCCTGACACCCTATTCCTCCATCACTCTATAAACACACCAATCCAATGAGTCTTTCAAATTGATTGGGACATATGAGCCACTTGATACCACCCAGAATCTCTGAAATGTGGTCCGACTCACTTTCTTTACCCTACTCTCCTCCACAAGTTAAGGTGGGTGGATGGGGAGAGCAGGGTGGTAGCCCTTCTCTAGAAGTGATGCCTACTCAGTGATCATAAGACCACAAAGAGGAGAGGGAAGACCTTTCTTGCCTCTCTGTTGGGTGGATGTACTGTAGCCCCAGTATGGCTCTCTATACCAGCATAAGTAAGCTTGGAAACAGACAACAGTTTTGTTCCCTTGACAATTCTAGAGAAATATACCCTTTATGTTAGCATATACATTATGTTAACATACACATGTTGACAGAATATATCTAATTAAGTAGTTGAATGCGCTGTGTCCCCCAAATGTTGGTAAAGGACTTGAGATTTATTAAAAATCAAACTCATATACTCTTTCTCGTACTCACGGCACTGAACAAAGAAGAACAGAAGTGGACAAGTGAGGTTTTTTTCACTATTTGCCAAAATGATCATTATTTAGTTTCTAACTTAAATGTCTTCTCTATACAAAGCCTCCTCTGAGTTCTTCCATCAAAATGCCCTTTCTCTGATATAGCAATCGCAGATGGTCTGACTTGGGTGCCTGTGTCTACCCCTCCCCCGCCCCAGATTGTGAGCTTACTTTTAGGGATAATAATTGTAGCTAGTATTTATTGAAGGCTGTCCTATCTGTCAGGCTCCCTGATAAATGCTTTAAAACAATTATCTCATTTGTTCATCAAACAACCCTTTCAGATGGTACTATTATTCATTCTCAGTTTACAGATGAGACAACGAAGGCCAAGAACAGTTAAATAACAAATCCAAGTTCACACAGCCGGTAAGGGTAGGGTCTGCCTGAATCCAAGGCCATGCCATAACCACTGCCCCATCCTGCCTCTTGGCATGGGTAGAGGCCATCTCTTACCCATCGCTGCCACCCCGCTCTACCCAGGTGTGCCTGGAACAGGGCGGTGCTCAGTCAGTGCTGACTGGTGTTGAGTGGAGCAGAAATGCCAGCGCTGGTGAGCATCTCTGCTGTGGCTGATTGGTGGCTGCCTTCTCTGCTACGAAGAGGAGGAAAGTGCTGGAGCAGACCCACCCCTCTGGCTTGTAGCCCTCTCTGTGCTACGTCATTTCTGCTGCTTGTTTACTCCTCCTCCATTCTAACTTCATCACGTGGATTAGAAGTTGGGTTGTTTGTTGTTTTGCTATTGAGTTGTACAAATTCTTTATAGTTTTTGGATATTAACCCCTTATCAGATATATGACCTGCAAATATTTTCTCCCATTCAGTAGATTGCCTTTTCATTTTGTTGATGGTTTCCTTTGCTGTGCAGAAGCTTTTAGTTTGAAGTAATCTCACTTGTTTATTTTGGCTTTTGTTGCATTTGCTTTTAGAGTCAGATCCAAAAAATCGTTGCCAAGACTGATGTCAAAGAGCTTACCACCTATGTTTTCTTCTAGGAGTTTTACGGTTTACCTTCAAGTCTTTATTTTGTTGCATATCTGAAAGCTGCTGAGAGAGTAAATCTTAAAAGTTCTTATCGCAAGAAAAAACAATTCTTGTAACTTTGTGTGGTGACAGATGGTAACTAGACTTACTGTGGTGATCATTTCACAGTTATACAAGTATCAAATCATTATGTTGAACACCTGAAACTAATATAATGTTATATGTCAATTATACCTCAATAAAAAAAAGTTGGAGCTTAGTTCACACAAAGAGAAAACACAACTCTGAACACCCTGTGTGGGATTGAGAGGGGAGAAATATGAAATCCAGAAAAAAGAGAGATGTATAAGGAAATATTTAACCTAATGAAATCATGATGTTATCTAAAATCAGCATGTTGCAAACAAAGTCAATGTTTGAGTGCTGATTCAGTGGCCTTTGGTTTCTGATTAGACTTGGGATGAGACCAAGTTGATGGCCGTGACTTAGATCCTGGATCACGTGTGTGGAACTGGGCGTTACTCAAGCAAATAAAATATCCATGCAGTAGATCTGCTTTCTGCAATCGAGCAGGGAAGAGTCTGCAAGGATTCACCAGTCTCCTGGCCTGCAGAGAAAACAGAAACATGAGCACAGCAGGAAAAGTAAGCAAAATTTTTACTTTTGGAATTATATTCTCATTAACATAATACACAGAGATGTAATATTTAATGAATAATTTAAAATACATATCTAAATTAGATACAATACATACTGAAATACAACATAGACTATATGTTTCAATATGCAATGTATGTTGAACTACAATTGAAAAAGCTGTTCCTAAATATCTTTAACAAGAATGTATAGCATTTGTAACCTATTAAAGTCTTTATTTCCTATATTAAATAAATGTGCAGTCATTACAGCCAATCATGAGTAATTTGCAAATCTCAAGTTAGAAACGTTTTTAATCAAGAAGTTATCTTTATATTAAGAAAGTTATCTTTATATTAAGAAAGTTATCTTTATATTAAGAAACCATAATTTAAATGTGTTATTCTTTATAATCATATTCTTTTTGTGAATACGGTAAACTTACATCTGACAAAAGTTTGATTGATCTCAAAGTGTTAGAATCATCAAGGTTAAGCAAGCCAACACCAACATGCAAATTCTAATTTAAAAGGGTCTTGTTATAGCTCAGTTCAGGAAATTTCCATAGAAATCCTATGAAACAATATCTTCTACATACAAAAGTCAACATGATTTTACAAAAACATTAATACTAATACAGTTTGAATTGCTTATTAGCACTGGGAACAGAGATATTTGGTTCTAAGTCTTCGATGGATCCATGCTTTTTCGTTCACTGTGCTTACAGGTGCAGAGAGATTCATGTGGTCATTCAATATAACCAATTCATGCTGTCTCACTGCTTCATTACAGAAGCCTGTCAACTGTTTCCAGTACATTTGTTGTGTTACAAGTGGATCACACAATATAATATCTTGTTATGATAACTCAACATTCTGAGGTTTCTACACACACTATGTGACACAACTGGCCTATATCAATAAGACTGGAGGGAAATCACATGAGCAAGCAATTGCCAGTTCTCTTATTCCAACCATCTTTATTTTCATTCATTACTGATTAGCGTTTACAATGGCATTTGCATTCCAAATGAAAAATAATTAGGAAAAAGAAAAATTAAATTTGCGAAAACTCAGCTTAAAAGAAATGAGTTCAGAGAGCAAAAGGGTAAACCAAATGTAGTAATGAAAACAACAAATAATAGGTAATCGATCCTCCCCCCGCAAGTGCAACGTCAATAACTTTTAGCTTTGTGACAGCACTTCATTTATGTTTGCCTTTCCTGTATTATATTTTCTTCAAATGCTAAAGGGCAATAGTAATAATACCTATTTTATAAGGTGGTTGTGAGAATTTAATAAATTAATACCCTAAAGCACTTAGAATAGCACGTGGTACATAGAAATAATTCAATAGATGTCAGTCACTGCTATTATTATTGTTGTTGTTATTACTATTTAACCTTTTGTTAATCTTTCACCACCACGGGGGAGTGAAAAGATAAAGTTAGATTGATATTAATTGTCTCGCCTGTTTTGTGACTTTGAGAAAATGACTCAGTCAACTACTGAGTCAGTTGAGCCTCAATCTTTGCGTCTGTAAAATAAGACCAATAATTCAAAAATACTGCCCTGTGAGGTTTAAAGATTGAACATGTAACTCACCCCGCACAGGCCACAGCGTGCCTGCTACATCGCAGGCACCCAATAATCAACACCTATCTACCATTAGTGTGTTATTTCCACGTACTGTCTTATTGATTGTGGCATTGACCATGATAAACACTCTGCAAAGTGGAAGGATTTGACATATAAATAATGAAAATTAATTGTTACATAAATTTCAGTTGATTTTTTATCATATTTGCAATTATATCAATTCTTTCTAGAAAAAATTCTCTTAACTGTACAAGCTTTGCCACGATGAAGACAGGTTTTGTATTACATTCCCAAGCACCAAAAATATGTGTTCAACTTTCATTTTTAAGAATGTCTATGGGTAAGCAATGCTAGTGAGAAAATCAAACAAACAGCTCTCCCATTTAAAAATATACGTGTGTGTGTGTGTGTGTGTGTGTGTGTAGCTTTAACCTCTGCAACTTTTGCCTCATATCTAATCTGGAAGGAATCTCTACACATAAGTTGATAACAAAACAGAGCTGCCGAAGCTAACTTTCAAATGAGTCGTGCAAACAAATAGCACACAGAAGTAGTGGGAGAGAAAATCAGAGGAGGGGAACAGGCAAATCGAGAAGGAGGTCTGCCAGTGCCAGGCAGGCAGGCAAGTATGGAACTGGAGTTATACGGTCAGGTTGCTTGGGCTTCAGTGGAGAATTGAGCAAGAGGGCAACAGATTTTAAGTGGAAAGACATTGAATCTGCCAGCGAAATAATGGTGATTTAGAACTTCATGTACAAGCCAACAGTTGTGGGTAAAAACTGATCTCAGCACTGCATTAGGAAATATCAGCAACAACCCTAGAGAGAAAAACTACATGAGGATGGTCTAAAAGAATATATTCCATTTTATCTCAATGTCTCATTATAGTTAATTCTGTTTCTCTGTCCTTATGTTCTGGCTTTACACATTTTTATAAAAGGGTATTTTTATTCTCTTTGCAAGTCAGAGGTTATTCATTTCCATGGAACACTTAGGTTCCAGGCATGAGCCTAGATGTCGCGCATAAAAAGACGAAAGAATCAATCACTGAAATCAGGAGTGGGGAAAAACTGGTATCCTCTTTCTGTTCAATTTCCAGGTAATAAAATGCAAAGCGGCTGTGTTATGGGAGCTAAACAAACCATTTTCCATTGAGGAGGTAGAGGTCGCACCCCCTAAGGCCCATGAAGTCCGAATAAAGGTGAAACATTTTTTCCACTTTTATTTAATTTTATGTTTTAAAAAATTGAGAGAATAGGAAAAATGGAAATAACCAAAATCCATTAAGATGCAGTTTTTATGTGGTCATCCAGACAGTAGAATGACATTTATTATCAAGGAAAGATAAATACAAATTCTTAAATTTTTAAAAAGAGACCAAAGAGTAAATACAGTACAATCCTAACAAAATTAAAAAATAAATAAATGTATGTGTTTGTACAGAAAAGAAGTACACAGGGATATATATCAAGATTTCAAAATTAATTAGCATTAGATGGTGGAACTTAAGTGACTTCATGTTCTTGATGTCGATCTGCATTTTTTACGTCTGTAAAAAGGATGCATTCTTTAAGTATATTATATGACTTAAATATTTCAGAAACAATTATTTCACAGATTATTCCAAATTGTTTAATGTAGGAAAGGAATGTAGAGGAGAGTTTTAGATTGAATGATCTTGGTGATAAACTGCAAGTTTTATATATGGGAAGAGAAGGGATTATTAGCAAAATCCTTGAAAACCTTTTAGAAGCCCAATTTCAGAAAATTGGGTATGTTAAGTCCCTCTGAGGGCCATAATCTTTTCTGAATCTAATCATTCTAGCTTCATCCTGTAGATGGTGGCCTCAGGAATCTGTCGATCGGATGACCATGTGGTTAGTGGAAACCTTGTCATACCTCTTCCTGTGATCGTTGGCCATGAGGCAGCTGGCATTGTGGAGAGCATTGGAGAAGGGGTGACTACAGTAAAACCAGGTGCAGATTTCACACTTAGGGGATGTGACTTGGTTCAGGGGCCCAAGATCATCCAGGCTGGATGATGAAACTGAAGCTATGAGAGATGAAAGGCCTTGCAGAAGGTCTCAGTGGAGCTGGGACTTGAACTGAGGTCTCCTCCTTTCCTCCCTCCCTGCCTGACTCAGGCATGTATGCATTCATGCACTCACGCATTCCCTCCTTCAGCAGGTATTTACTGAGTACCTATTAGACGTCAGGCACCAGGTTAGATCCTGGGGATATGTGAGGATCAAAAGAGAAACAGCGCCTGCCAGAGTGGAGTTCACAATCAAATAACTTCCATTTTGGTGTTGCTGAGCACTGGCTGTCAAGTTCAAAGAGAACTACAAATGAGACAAGGGAGAAAGCATAAGTCTATGTGCTGAGCCTCTAGGTCAGTATATGGAAACTGCTCTGTGCTGACTTCACAGAATGGGGGCCATGAGGCTATGACTGAAACAACGTGATCTCTTCATGTGGGAAGTGAAGCCTGTTCACTGGCTTCCTCTTCCAATATGGCCTCCCTTCTTGAACAGGGAATGACTGAAACAAACTAGTTGGAAGGAAATGAGAGAGACCTAGCAGACCTAGCAGTTTTATTACCTTTAACCATGGTTCAATGTGACTGGTTACAAAGTACTGTTTCATCTTTATTTTATCCTAATTTTATTGTATATTAATATAAATAAATATTTTTAGAGGTAAAGGGTGAATAAATAGAAAATTTCTATGCCATCATCTCCATATAAAGTTTATCTATTAAATGTTATGGCCCAACCATTTCTGTGGGTCTTGTGGATAGGTAGCATAGATAATTAAAAATAAAAATTATGTTTAATTCTGAAAAGTTACTTTAGCCAGTATATTCGACCTCTCCCCTTACCAAGTACTTAATTGACCTGTAAACAGAAAATAATGAAATAAATTGTCTGCTTTGAATTTCAGCTCTTAGTATTTCCTTTTGTTAGAAATAAATTAATAATAAATGACGTCCTTGCTTTTCATCCCTGCTCCCTCCACCATAGCAGGAAAAACAGATAATTCACAAATTATCAGCCAGAAATATTTGAAAGCCAGTTCTTGTCCTAAAAGAAAGTGTCTAACTCATTGTTGAGGGCTGAGGTTTTCAAAGGAATTTCTTGAATTCGTCTTTGTTCCATCTTTGTTAGTTTCCTTAAAAAAAGAAATAAAATTTCAAAAATAAGTAGTCATTTCATAGTAAAGATAAGCATAGTCACTTTGAAAAACCGAGAAATGGTTGTGAAAACTTCTCATTTTTGCTGTACCCCAAACTATTACAAACTACCAGATCTCCCCAACATCTAGTGGAACTATGGCAGTCCTCTCACAACTAAAATTTATATTTATACTTATACTGAGAATATTTAAGGTTTAATAAAGATTAAATGAGACAATATGTAAAACCACCAAGAGAAAGGGCACAAAATAAAAGATAACTGTTGATACAGCGGAACTACATTTAAAAATCCATGTTTTTCCCTACTTTGCATTTCATTTTTGACAATCTTCAGGCACATATAAACCCAAACTGAGAACAACACTAGCAGGCAATGACCAATGACATAGTGGTGACTGGACCCTATTTCTTGGAGACATTTCAATGACAAATGTCTCAAATACATATGCATAAGCTTTATCTTCTTGCTCTATTAGTTCCTGGATAGAAACTGAAGAAGGATTTGTTTTATCCCCCTCCAGGTGACAAAGTCATCCCACTCTTTACTCCCCAGTGTGGGAAATGCAGTGTTTGTAAACACCCTGAAGGCAACTTCTGCTTGAAAAATGAGTAAGTTTCTGATGTTCTCCTTACACAGCCAACAGATTTGCACGTAAGTTATGCCCGGTCTCATGCCCTTGTGTGTCCATGTGTTGCCCTGACTAGTCTGAGCACACCTCGGGGAACCATGCAGGATGGTACCAGCAGGTTCACCTGCAGAGGGAAGCCCATCCACCACTTCCTCGGCGTCAGCACCTACTCCCAGTACACAGTGGTGGACGAGATCTCAGTGGCCAAGATTGATGCGGCCTCATCGCTGGAGAAAGTCTGTCTCATCGGCTGTGGATTTTCTACTGGTTATGGGTCTGCAGTCAAAATTGCCAAGGTAGGAAAGACAATGGTTGATAAAACCAGTTACACTCGGACTGTCAGGAACCAAAAGGAAAGCAATTTCTCGCAGGAATCAGAGATCATTCTTCATAGATTTACTGGTAGCTTTCCCCCTGCCACCATAATAACACTGATATACTCCATAGAATTTAGGATATCGATTATGAATAGAAAAATGCCCTCAGAAGGATTTTAGAGCATATCCTAGAAAATTTATCTGTTTATCACTAATGAAAAAGCTGTGGATAATTAATTAAGAAAAATTAAAGATGTCATTTTCAATAATGATTCTTGTATATTTGTTCTTTATGGGATGACTAAACTTCAGAGCTGGGAGCTCATTCAGTCATTCACTCTACAGTCAGACAGCACCAACATGCGCCAGGCACAGTAGGTTCTGCTAGGTTCTGCGGCAGCAAAAGTAAATGAAAGGAAGGGGTTGCCTTTGAGGAGTAGCTAGTCCATGGAGCCTCTACTCCCAGAATTAGGATTAACAGTAGATTCCAAAGCCTTACCTGACACACCTCCAGACCGAGGGTCGTCAACACACCCAGTCTGTGGATCCCCATGAGGAAAGCAATGAAGCCTCAATGATGCATTTATTCCACTGCTACATCTCATCCCCTGCCGTGAACACAAACACACACACACACTTCTGAAGGGGTAGATTTTAAGGAGAAATTCCTTAAACTCTCCTCTTTCCAAAAGGTTGGAAATCTGGTAGTCTCCTTTCATTTCACAAAACCGAGGCCCAGAAACATAAAGCTATTTGCCCAAAATCTCACAGCTGGTTAGTATGAGAGCTGCAACTAACCTATCTCTCAAAACTCCTGCTGATTCATAAACCATAACACATAATTACTAGCTTTTTTAAATCACAGTCACAAGCCTCATATTTCTCCAAGTAAGGTAAAAAGTGGTGCCGTGCCCCAAGGAAAGTTTTCTTGGCACAGGAGGAGCATTTTACCCACACTGAAGGCTGACTCCAGCAGACTAGGTTTATTAAACAGTCACTAGCCAGTTTAAACCATTGACAGCGCGTGTTTTCCACGTGTCTGTGACTGGCGCGCTAAGCCTCTTGTGCAACTGCATCCTCTGTTTGAGCAGGTGGTCGAAGTGAGCCCACACACAAAGCAGAAGCCAAGGGCACTCATAATGAGGAATGTCGTCCATTCTTAAAACATAGACCAACCTTTCATTGCATTATTGTTCATTAGTGTATTTGTAAAAGCAGGGATAACGACCCAAGACCACGTTGGTCTCAAGCTATATTATCTTAAAGTTCCCTGTTAACTTTTCCTGTTGTTAGGTTTTGCTCTAAGCTGAGGATACCTCTGCTATGCTTCAGAGCTAATTTCTGCTCTCTTTATACTGGTTATGACTACTGAAAGTTAACGAACCAAGGAGTTAATTGTTGAGGGTTCAATTGGATTATTTTTTCGGTCTCCTGGAGTAACCTTTTCCACTTATTATTTCATTTCCCAAAAATCGTGTTTGTGTACATGTGATATACTGAAGCTGGCTATCAATAGATTCGAGCCACTAGATTCTCTATAGATGCAAGTCACTAGCATTTAGAGCTCAAAGATCGTCCAGTCCACTAGCCCCCAGCCCAGGCTTCCCACTGGAGTCACCTGGGAGCTGGGTCCCACCTACAGAGCTTCTGACTTAATTGGTTATGGGCTGTGACCTGAGTACTGGGATTTTTTAAAGTTCCCCAGGTCTAATGTCTAACGTCCAGCAAAGATCTAGTTCAACCCCCTCGACTTAAACATTGAGACAACTCAAGCCAAAAGAGGCTTTGACAGCAGGTGGACATGGTCTGAGCAGCTCCTGATGACGGACAACGCATAGCATTTTATACAGTTGAGTTACTTTCTAACATTCATTACCTAATTCTCTTCTGCATTTTCTGAAAACACAGGTCACCCAGGGCTCCACCTGTGCCGTGTTTGGCCTTGGAGGCGTTGGCCTGTCTGTCATCATGGGCTGTAAAGCAGCTGGAGCGGCCAGGATCATTGGGGTGGACATCAACAAAGACAAGTTTGCAAAGGCCAAAGAGGTGGGGGCCACTGAGTGCATCAACCCTCAGGACTATGAGAAACCCATCCAGGAGGTGCTGAAGGAAATGAGCAGTGGGGGTGTGGATTTTTCATTTGAAGTCATTGGTCGGCTCGACACCATGGTATGTTCCGTGAAATGCCTTGAGATAGCTGCTTCTGCATTCTGGAGTTTGCTCTTAGGCCAGAGAATGCAAATATTATATACACAGAATATTTTTAAAGCTATGAAGGGTGATTTTCCATCTCCTGTTTCTCATCTGGATTGCATAATTCACAATTATGAGAAATCTTTCATTCTATCAGCTAAGCAAACCTGTCATAAGTAATAGTTCCCCTTTAGAGAAGGAAGAGATTTTTTTTTTATTGAGCCATTACAAATTTACCTTGTTAATCTTTTGTTAAAAATTTCAAACTTGGGGCCAGCCCAATAGTGTAGTGGTTGGGTTCACACTCTCTGCTTCAGCTGCCCAGTGTTCAAGGGTTCAGATCCCAGGCACAGACCTACACACCGCTCATCAAGCCATGCTGTGGTGGCGTCCTACATACAAAATAGAGGAAGATGGGCACAGATGTTAGGTCAGGGCCAATCTTCCTCAAGCAAAAAGAGGAAGATTGGCAACAGATGTTAGCTTCAGGGTCAATCTTCCTCACCAAAAAAAATGGTTCAGACTGAAGTAAATATAAATAATACAAATTCTGTTCTCAAGTTGGCAAGTTTGATTTTTCCCCACATTCTTAACAAAAATTATTTAACAATTTTTGTATGTTTTAATGAATTCTCATTTTTTTTCCATATATATTTTGGCCAAAAGAAATAATGAGCAATTTTAAGCTTCATATCACTTTATTAACAGAAAATATGTGCTATTTTACCACAGCAGACAGCACAGCACCTGGTACAAAGTAAGCACCCAAATCCGTGTGTTGAACTGAAGACTTTAAAAAGTCAACAGGTTTTTCTGCCGAAAACATTTGAGATACATATCTCATAGCATTGTTTATGGGTTGCATGAGATAATACGTGGAAAACACTTAGCACAATGCTGCCTGTCAAGTGGTAAGCACCAGTGGTAATAACTGTCAGCTCGTGTTATCAATATGAAATGCTGTTTCCAGCCTTGCAGTGCTTACATCAACTTTGGAATATACATGATGTGACTTTCAAATAATTACAAATATTGTCAATTGCAACAGGGAATACATTTCCAGCTATATTTCACTTAATCAGAATTCTCTAGACTCCTACTGAAAAAATCCCCAGAGACCAACAAACCCCCCTTTTGAGGTTCTCCAGTAAGTCCCAACAGTGTTGGTCATAGGGAGTAGCACCCTGAGAGTAAAGCTCTTTGCAGTCTCGACCTGGGACAATATGCCATAGGTGACTGAAGCGCCAAGAGAATGCAACTTTTTCCAAGGCTGTAGCTTTTCTCCTGCCCCTTTTCTATGGCTTTCCCTCCATTTTCTCATGTGGAATTGGATTGTTACTTTACCTGAAGACACCAGTGTCCAATAGCCACACGTTCTGAGGTGGTCTGGTCTTCCAAATGTCATACTCCAAAATCAAAGGACCAATCATCATATATTGCTGGGGGAGCCTAAACAATTTTCTTACTACAGCCGTGTTTAAAAACCTGACTGGAGGAGGAAGGCTTTCTTTTGAGATTCCAAAGTAATAGATACAGTTTAAAGAAAAATCAATGTGCATTTTGGGAGGTAAAAGCACATTTAAAACATGTCCATTTTAGGCCGACAGCTATATGGAAAAGGCGCTCAGCATCACTAATTGTCAGGGAAATGCAAATCAAAACCACAAGATATCACCTCCCACCTCTTAGGATGACTATTTTCAAAAAGACAAGAGATAACAAGTGTTGTGGAGGGTGTGGAGAAAAGGGAACCTTTGTGCACTGTTGGTGGGAATGTAAATTGGTATGGCCATTATGAAAAACAGTATTGAGGTTCCTCAAAAACCTTACAATAGAGCTACCATATGATCCAGCAATCCCACTTCTGGGTATATATCCAATGAACATAAAATCACATCTCAAAGAGATAGCTGCACCCCCATATTTTTTGCAGCATTATTCACAAGAGCCAAGATTTAGAAACAACCTAAATACCCACTGACAGATGAAGGAATAAAGAAATTGTAGTGTGTGTGTATGTGTGTGTGTATATATATATACATATATATATAAAACCAACTCATAGATTGCCTGAGGGCCATGTGATGATAAACATTACCTTTATTTAAGGAATCAGATTTTATATGTATGTTTGTAATGATATTTTCCTCTTTATTACTTTATAAGAAAGAATTAAGTACACAAAAGTTCATTCATCCATTTCTCATTTCAAAAAGCTTGTCTGGGCATTTTCTGAAGCCACAGCTAGTGGCTTTAGGAAATAATGGGGAATCAAGAAATAAAAGTCATAATCTCTTCCCTCCGCACACTCACAATCTAGCTAAATCAATATTACGTGATACTGTGTATCACGAGTGGGGACTATCAGAGAATTCACTTTAATGGTGCTACGTATTAATTTTATTCCAGATGGCTTCCTTGTCATGCTGTCATGAAGCATATGGTGTAAGCGTCATTGTAGGAGTACCTCCTGATTCCCAAAATCTCTCTGTGAACCCTATGTTGCTATTGAGTGGACGTACCTGGAAAGGAGCTATTTTTGGCGGTATGTCATTAGGCTTGAGGGCCAAATTCTTACTAACCTCAGGATTTCTTCCCTTTTACAAGTGACCAGACCAGGTTTTAAAAAGCAACATGGTTAAAAATAAATTTAAATTCCTTTGTATCTATAGGCTCCAAATGAACTGGATGTGGAACTAATGCACACAGAAGGTCCCAACAGACATGAACTAACTAGCCTCTTTCAGCAGCACATCTTTTGACACTTGAGACTGCACAAGGCACTGAAATACCTGGTAGACCCAGGAAGCCCATAGCAATAATTCACGTCTGCACTCCCACTGCCCAAATTTAGACAATTGCTAAATTTTCTCCTTGGTGCAAATGGTGGGAATAACCACTTGTACCATAATTTCTTTGCGAGAGAACTGATCACCAAGGACCCTAGTTTGTTGGGGAACTAAAAAAAAAAAAAGCCAAACCACTGTGAGAGGATCTCAAAGCACACTGTCTCTTATTAACCTCAGTAATAGCAGTTTGTGGAATGTAGCACTTTTCGTGCGCTTTCATGTAAATTCTATTTGGAAAGTCTCTTCTCCAATTCTCCTCTTACCGCTGGCTGAATCCAACAACTATCTCACTTTATTTTCAGGTTTTAAGAGTAAAGATTCTGTCCCCAAACTTGTGGCTGATTTTATGGCTAAAAAGTTTGCATTGGATCCCTTAATAACCCATGTTTTACCTTTTGAAAAAATAAATGAAGGATTTGACCTGCTTCGCTCTGGAAAGAGGTAGATTTTAAGTTTCTTTTTATGGTGGGGTTTGGCTAACAGAGAAAAAATGGTGGAAGGGTGAGAAAAACATTGGAACGTCTTGGTTTTCCATTACCAGTTCAAACTTTGCATGTAGACCATTTAAGATTGTATTATGAGAAGCTAAGAGCAGTTGCTTTACATTTCCTGTTCTGCTGAAGCCAAATTCTGTTGGTTACAGCAAATCTAAATGATCAGAGTCATTCAGCCTTCTTCACAAGAGAACACTCACCCTTGCAAGGAAAAAGAATCAGAGACTCATGCTCATAATTATGATATTGAGTCATGGAGCCTCTGGCTGGCCACCTAAAAAGGT